AAATAATACAACAAGTTAAACTTATTTATCACATAGAACATAAATATATGACAAGTCTTTTTTTTTGAAAAGAATGCTGGATTAACGCAGTAACCTGTGACTATAAGTGATTTAAATGAACTACTGATCAGCCAGAAGTTAATCTCTGATAGACAATGTTTTAATGGAACAATTTTCGGAAATTCTTAAAATTCATTTTTAATAAAAAAATACCGTATTCGACGGATCGCTTAAGAAACATTCGACCAAATTAGTAAATTCTCGTCGACTTGTATAGATAAGCGAGCAAACCTGCAAACTAAAAATCCTCATATAAAAAGCACAAAAATTACCAGTAGCACTCCTGACAACTTTTCCCGCAAAACGGAAAATTAAATTAAGGAACTGAGCACTATGATTAAGTAATGCTGCACTGAACACAACAGCATCACGCCAGTTGCACTGGGACCATGATGATGCGTCTAGATAAACAAGAAAAAACAGCAGAAATCAAATAACAAAAGAACAAAGCATAACTGATTGCTAGGCTCAAGCACTTCTTTTCCGATAGGAGGGGGTGAAGGCCTGATCTTTTCAAATAATTGGCCAACGCACGGGCTGCCCGCGCGAAGATGCGTTTTTTGCATAGTTCTCCGCAGTTTTTGCTGCTATCGGCACTGGTTTTTTGGGCTCTGGAAGAAAACTTTCACGGGCCCGTACGTCGGTACCACACATACCCGAGAGCTGGGTTTGAGCTCAATGAGACTTAGGTGGATGGGGAATATCCTCCTAAAATTACAGTCTTCTAGCTTTTCAAATTCTCGAGTTAGCGACTTACCCGAAAAAAATTTTGGCAGGCCGCACTTGGATACCACGCATACCCGAGGAATGGTTTGAAGCTCATTAAGACTTACGTGGACAGGGAACGTCCCCACAAAATTTCAGCTTTCTAGCTTTTCTGATTCCCTTAGCGATTTGCCTGAAAAAAACTTTCACGGGCTCGTACGTGGGTACCACGCGAGTAAAACCGCCCATTTTGAGGACGGAGGTCCGCACACGCATGTCGATTAAGTTCCCAAAGTCTCAGCCCTGTAGCTTTTGTAGGTCTCGAGATGAAAAATCGGTACAGAAGCCCAGCGCACACACAGACACACACACACAGATAACTTCTCGTCAGTGTGCGTTTTCCGCATTGCACAGCTGCAAAAAACGCATAAAAAGTTCAAAGCGTACTGAGGAAGTCTTCGAGCTAATTGAAGAATCCTCGATTCATCTAATCCATTCACCATTTTCATCACTTCCACAACACAACGTTCTGCTTCGGCCGAGCGCGAAGCAGGTGAATCAATTGATAGCGCCAGTTCTATTAACTATAACAGACAAACTTATGAAAAATACAGTATAAATTCTAATATTCCTAATTATCTCATGTACAGCTATAAAAAATGAAGATTTAATCAGACTACAAACATTCTCCCCACAATTTTGTAGATGAGGAAAGAATAAGACACAACCGATGGACATAGCGGGTTGTGAAATGATGACTCACGTGATGTTAAACGAGTAATGGGAAGGTCACTAGTGAGGACGAAAAATTCATTCAAATCTGGATGCAACAGATTCAGTAAGAATTGAGCCAGTACAGCAAGTACGTCATGAAGTATATAAAGTGCCGGGAACAAACCTCATTTATAATGTCCAAGGGAGGAAGAA